AAGAGTTATAAAAATCTGTAGCAAGGAAAAAAAAGAGAGAGGGAGAAGAGACGGCAGCCTCGTGCCCCGGCTACTCCGGCTGGCATCGGGTCAGGGCTGCGCGCACAGCCCTGCTGCCGGTGGGGCCCTGCTGACCCCAGCAAGGCAGCTGCTCTGCACCACGGCCACTGCTGCCCTTGCTCTGTTTTCTCCAGAGCTCATGGTTTCTGGTGGGTACCACCGAATTTGTAGGCAGCTTCTCCCTAGAGGCCAGGCTGAATGCAGAAGGCTTCGGGAGCAGGAGGCAGCAAGAAAGGTGAGCAGCAGCCACGGCTTCTCCCAGCAGCCACAAAACGACTCTCTCCTGAGTCTCTCTCAGTACTATTCATCAACTAGGTGTTTTTTTGTTTGTTTGCTTTTTTTTTCCTTCTTCCACAGGACTGTGAAAAATCAATCAGATTTGTGCTGCAAACTGATCATTATGACAGGGAAAACTCTGCATTGAAATTGATTTGTTTAAGTATAACTACGCCACTTACACTCCCCCACAACTTTGTGGGGTAGACCCTCGGGATCTCAGACAAAAAAAAAAGGACAAGTGCTAACCTCCTTGCTATGTTAGCTAAATGCCTTTTTTTTTTTTTTTTTTAAATTGGTTTCAGACTAGCTAAAATGAAGGCAAGGCAACCGAGACAAAGTGCAAACTGGTTCAGAAAATGAATGAAACCAGATTAATGCATTTTATAAATTACGCGCAGCAGCAAAGATTAAAGATTCTGATCTGTCCCCTGTGTTTTGTCCTCATTTCACCTTCTCACAAGTGCAGTACTTGACTAGCAGTATTTCCATAAAATCTCAAACACTAACTATGGAAAGAGTCTAACATGAATATGGAAAAGAGAACTATAATGAGGCAGGGAAGGAAAATTAAAAAAAAAAAAAAAAAAAAAAAAAGCTGGCTTTCATTTTTAACTTGCAACTATTAGTTAAGGAGCTCCACCCAGAAGAAATCCATCCCCAAGTGCCCTGGTGGGTTCAGCAGACATGCCAGACAATAGACAGAGCGCTGCAGCAGGAGTCAAGAGAGCTGCTTTCTGTCCTTGATACTTCTGTTTTCTGCGTGACTTGGGACAAATCATGTCCCCTGTGAGTGCCTTGTCTCCTTCCACAGCTGTCGACTCATACTATGAAGTTTTAGGGCATGGATTGCCTACTGCTTTGTACAAGCAGAGCGATTACCATAGAGGGGATCCACCCTCAAGTACAGATTAAGCACTGCTGCAACACAGCTAGTAATGAATGAACTACCAGGGGGTCTTGTCATCTGCCTTGTCATCTACAGCACTGGAGGTGTTACATATCCTTCACACAACAAATTACCCAGGTCCCGGCTCTGTGAGGAAAACAGCACATAGGTACCACAACTCCACGGCTTTTAGTACCCTTATTTATAAAGGCATCAAACAGCAGACAGCAACTCAGAGCTCAGACACGTATGTTCCCACACATCCAAGCTCTGCATGCGATGAACACGAACAGCGTCCATCTTCCTGTTCGACTCAAAGGGACAAACAGCACAAATCCAGACACATGCACGAGCAGAGCTACAAAAACCCTCAAAGCATCACATTACTACAGAATAATACACTGTATTACACTTGAATCATGAGTTATTAGTTATATAATGAAGTTTAAAAAACAAAGCAGTTCTACTATGCTCAATGGTCTTATCAGACAAGTCCTGCTTCCTTTACCACTCAGTAAGGAAATTCAGAGCACGTTTCAGTAACAGGGTGACCACACACAACACAATGGCTTGCTTTGCTCCCGATCTGTTTAGCTATCCTTCATTCGGGGTCAATTTGTAGCCATCCTTAGAGAAAAGCACATAATAAAACCAGGACAGTTGATTTTGTCACATGGCATGTCTTTACTATCATTTTTTTCTATTACCGTACTAGTAGAGCTCGAAGATCACGCCCACCACTCCTCAAACATCAGAAACATATTGTGCAAATGTCATCAACTGAAGAAGAGAGTTCAATTTCCCCAAGAGATATTTCCCCAAGAGAAAATGATAGACTTCATAACAAGTTTGCAATGCAAATAAGCAAGTTAAAAGCCTTAATGGTATGACTCAACACCATTTTAAGTGGGCAAAAGTGTTCTTTTATGTCTCATTGCTAATTTCTTTTTAAACATTACTTATACTTTAGCGAGAGGATTTCTGTATTTGCAAGCAGGCATCAGTGGCCTCTTCAAATAATCATGCTGCAGTACATTTCTTCATGAAATGGAAGAATTAATCTTCTCTGAAGGCCCTTCACTGGTACAACAGTATGTCCATAGCCTTATCCATGAAGACACAAAACAGCACATTTCTTTGGTCAAGAAATCCAGAAACAAAAGAAGTTACAGATGTACAAGACAGCATTTAGTTTCTGTCTTAAATATTATGTTACTTTATATGACTGGATTAGTGGACTTCTGCGCAGGATGACTTCCTTCTCATGGGGAGCTGTTGAATATACTTAGGGAAGAGAAGTTTCAAATACTGGGTCTGCAGCAGGTAAGAGGCACAGCAAGCAGCTTGGTGCCTACAGATCAAGAAGAGTCTATAATGACGAACAGAGTACAAGCACAGCTGAGCCTCTGAGGAAATGAAGGGGTTTCTGAGGGACCAGGCAGGACTGCACGAAGTTTTATACAACTCAGAGATTCACCAAGCTACTTAAAACCTACTCTTGGATTAAGACCCACCTACAAAAATACAGCAGAAACCAGCAAGTTGTTCATAGACAAATTTCCATCTGTCTTATCTAGCTGCATTGCATTTATTCTGATGAAAATTTAACTGATCTAGTACTTAAAATCTCAGTTTCAGAAATCAACAAGTTTCAGAGCCGTTTGGGAGCATTCACTAACAGAAAAGGGTCTAATCACACCCAGCTCAGAACTTTATGTAGTTCTGGGTTCTGTCTGTTTGTTAGAAGAAAAATACAGAAATCTAGTGTGGCCCTAGAATCAAATTCCAAAATACACAGGAGCTGACAAATTTCTTGAATGATGTACTTTCCACACATGTATGTAACATACATGTACAAGTCCAAATCCATTTTAAGTCCAAAATTTTAACTCAAGCAGATGTTTCAAATCATGAAAATCATGACATTGTCTTTTTTCTTTTTTTTTCTTCCCAGAAGTCAAGCTGTTGTCAGACTAGATTTTGCAGAATTAAGGAAATGGAAAACCCTGAGCAGGACATCTGACCAGGAGAGGAGGTGGGTGACCAACCCCATGCGATCCCACAGTTAAAACCAACATTTCACTGTGGCAATTCCCAGATGAGCAAACTCCAAAGGCTCAGGATGAAGACAAACATATCTCACTTGCTGTTCTATATCCTATACTGAAAAAAAAAAAAAAAAAATAGAGAGTAAGCTGCCCCGGTTTATGAAATGTACATGGGTCCCCACAGGTAAGTGAGTTTACTCTGCACAAGGGCTGATGCAGCAATATGAAATGCTGACAAAGGAGAGGTGAGTTCTCCTCCCGTAGACCACAGGTGTATTGCTATGTTACTGTGACATGCCCATGTTATTCCCAGGACAATAGTAAATTTTTTCAAAGGGTTGTGCTATGTGAACATACCAGAGGAGGGTAGTATTTGCTTGGGCATCTCTGCATGGCACTCCATTGTGTTGCTTAGGAATGCCCTAAAATAGTAGATCAACTGTTGAACAATTTCCCTAATCTGCATGTCAATGATTTACTCAAATCTGAGAATTGATTTGGTCCCAACGTACATGGTACCGTTTTTAACCTTTTCCTCCAGATGCCATCCAGTTTAGAAGAATATATTAGGCAGTGAACCTTCTTCAGTTCCCCCCAGCCCCAGAACTTCTAATGGCAAGTTGATCTGTAATATATGGCAGGGCGTCAGGTCTCAAATTTTAATTTTAGGATATTTGAAGACATCTCAACACACAAACTTCTCCCAGCTGTGGGATTTTTTTTTATTGCAGATACTTCCATACAAGTCTGTCACCTCTCACTGAAAGATTAGGAACAATGCACAACATTCATGCTTCTGCAGAATTCCCCTTCCCTTCCCATGAAAGGACAGTGCCACTTATTCTCCCGTTTCCTCATTAAAAGCTGTGTGTTTTTTTTTTGAAATCTTGACAATCATGAAAGCAATCACAGTAAGATAAAAACTGGTTAAACTAATTCACCATGCTATTTTCCTCAAACGGGCAAGAGCCAGGCATGCTGAAATACAGCATTCTCATCACAGCAGCAAATGTTCTTCGCTTTATGCTGTTCTAGCAGCTGCGGCCCATCTATTTGTTTTATTTGGCCTTTTGAACATCTGCATAACTTGCATTCTTCAGATACTAGGTTACTTCTTTCTCTGGATGTGGGGGTGGAGAAAAGGGGGGGGGTGGACTGAGCCCTACAGTTTACCTAGTTTTGAAATCCACCATACCTGAGTCAGACACACAGATTAATGTGCTTTAGATATTCTGTCTCCATGGGAAAAGAGAAAAAACAAAGTCAAACATTTTTTAACCATTTACTTGTTATAAGTATGTCATATGAATCTATCAGTAAGAAAAATAGCCCAGCAACCGTGCAACCCGAGCTCCAAAAACATTAATTCAGCCAGCTCCTATGGCTTATTGGAAGTTATGCCTAAGAGTGACAATGAGTGAAAGTTGGTGACAGAGGAAGCCAGGCAAGATAAAAGTTTGCAAGATAAAAATTTGCTACTGTTATTTGCCTTGGTGTATGAAGTAACACGGCACCAAATGGCACCAGCTCCTAGCTACAGTTAACACGGAAACCAACAAAAGTGTGCTCTCCCAGAAAGCCAGTGTAGTAGAGTAGTTCAATGAAGGAAGGCTGAAATGGATAAACTACAGATTGGATCCTGAGTCCCTACAAACAACCACAAGCTTCCAGTTCATTCACCTCTGTTTATACCATTTGTCTTACAAGTTCAAATAATGGTCACTTACCAACCCCACTGACACAGACCAGCGAAAAGACCAGGAGAAAAGCCTGACGCTAGGGCAGCGTCAACCATCTAGGAAAGAATGGCAGGCACATTGTAGAAATGAAGAAATTGAATTACAATGACAGCTGACATTTTCAAAAATCATTGAAGCGGCCATGATTAAATCATACATCAAATTAAAATGCATATAAAAATGTTGCATTTCCCACTACGATCCAATCATACTCATTTATTCAAAAATAGGCTCCTACAGTAGGCTTCAGCTTCTTTCAAGGCTGCAACCTCCTTCCTAGCTAGTCACGAAGATCAGATTACGAACTCCCTGGCCTTTTTACAGATTGCAACACTCACTAAGAATTGAAGACTACTGACCTTGGATTAAGAAATTTAACTGAGACAGGTTAGACTATCAACCTGAGTGACGCTTTGTTGCTTCATTAAAACGTCAGTCTGAAGAAATATTCATGTCCACGAAAGTTTATTTTTCTAAGTACACCAACTGACCCGATAAAAATTAAAACCTTCTACCTACAAATCTTGTCCTGCTGATTAAACATAAATCTACTCATTTTTATAAGAAGTATTGTTTAAAAGTTCTAAAACAAAGAAACATGAAACCAATGTTTTCCTTTAAGCTAAGTGATTTATTTATAATTTTTCTAGTATCACTTTAACAAACAAATACAGACCCCAGAAGACAACAACTGGATGGAAGCATTATGGCTGCTCCTGTCTCTAGCAAGTAGGTAACACTTCATCAAATGTCTTTAATTTTCTACAGCAGGCTTTGTAGGAATATGAGATAAGTTCTAGATGCAACTGAAAATCATCATTAACTGCAGCATTCTTTTGATTTCATCCATACATACCACTAGCTTGTTTCTATCTCACAGAAAGAGGGGCTGTGTATGAAATCAGGCATTTCAAAAACTTTTCTATGCACCTACTTCTTCCCTCCAAATAGCATGACTCCACGCACATAAAAGTTGGCTAAAGATGGAAGAATCCTTAACAAAACTCAGGGAACAAAAGGACGTAAAAAGAGACAGAACTGTAATTCCCTGTGTCAAGGACATTTTACTAGACATCTGAGGAAGTAAAATCTGAAAGAGACTGTAGACAGACCAGTCTTAGGTAACTTTCTTAAACTTTCCTGTATTCCTAACTAAAGAAGACTCTGCATTGGAGAAGTTCTTACAAGAACAGAAAAAGAAATATAGCAGAAGACAGAAGGCTATCTGAATATAGATGCAATTGTTTTGGGCTGTTTAGAGAACAAACCCGAAACTTCCAAGTGGGCTGATGCCTGTACATTTAGCCACTGGCACTAACACTTTTGCACTGCTCTGCAACATATTAAAAAATAGTTTCTTCAGAAATAAGTGCAATCAACTGCAATCTAATCTAGTTGTGAGGTCTTCATACAAGAAAGGTATGAAGGGGGGGTTGATTCATTTAGTTTTATTTTCTACCTCCTTCAGCCTGTTTGATTATATGTAAAGTACTGCTGAACTAATTTAAGCAGTCCCTCACCACACCTTCAGGGAGCAAATTATCTACACTTCTGTTAAGCACCAATGTGCTACAGCCATTGGTGTTATAAATGTTGGTTTATTATCATGGCAGCAAGTCACTCTAGGAACCGCAATAAAATCTATTAACATTTTATTCAAGTTCATGGTCGTATTAGGTCAAGTACTTGTGAATAAACTGTAGAGGATGAAGAACTAGCTTTGAGACTGTTGTTACCAATTGGTTACATTTTAGTAGATTTATTATTCGGCACAAATTGTAGAGCTCTGACTTAATTCCATCAGGGACAAAAATATCTGTAAGATAACCAAGTCTGAGAAGAGAAAGAAGGAAAAATAAATAAATGTGTCTACGTATCCTCAGAGTGATCAACACCATGCTAGATGAGACCAGCACAACTGATAACAACTATCCTATGCCGCGTGCATGCCTTGAGCTGCTCCATCAGAAACCATAGAAAATACAGACCAACGTTACTTATACAAGCATTTGCAGTCCTCAAACACCACAACCCAACAGGAGGCAGGCATTTGTTCCAGATAAAATTCTCGTGAATAACGTTTTTCCTCAACAATGTGGTACAAACTGTGTCAGTGTTTCTTGGATACTGAATTTTAAAGACTGTCAGCTCCTCGCAGCATAACCAACCCCTTGTTTTTCTCAATGCTCGCCAGTTGGACGAAAGTATTATTTAATTTAATTATGAAATATAGCTCAGAACAGAAGTATTCCAAGCTCTGCAGCAAGATTCCATTTGTAACTCCAAGTAGTGTAAAAACAAGAGTTAATTGCCTGTACAAATATTTCAGGGTAGTGTTTACGTAATCTACAGTACATTAAGTACCAGAGTTGTGCTCTACTGATAGGTGAAAGAACAACTTTGAAAGGCAACTGCGTTGCCAATTAGCTTTCAACAAATATGTACACAAGCTGTGCTTGCAGGCTCGTGCTCAGCTTCCTCATTCTCTGCAGATTGCCCGGTTTTATAATGGTGAACTCCTTTATACTCAAACACCCAGCTAACTTCGCAGTGCTCGAACAAGGGAAGGCAGCGGGTTTTATTCAGCCGGAGCTGCAACGCACCCAAATGTCACAGCTTAGGACAGCGATCTTTGACCAAAGCCAAAACGTTCCAGTTTTAAGTGTGTGACACAAACCCCTTAGGCCTGAGCAGGGAAAATAAAACCATGGCTGCAGTTAGTCCCAGGAGGATGGAGCTTGCCTGCAAGACCCAGCAAGGCACACAAATGTCCCACTGGTCCCAGCTCCTGCATGCACCTCTGGAGAGGCTGAGCCCTGAGCACGAACACCCACGCGCATGCTCGCAGCAACCGCGCCACCGTTTTGCCTAACAGAGCCGTACACAAATAAAGAACCCAGCCCAGGTTCACAAAGCCACGTGAAGAGATTAACGCTCGTAGTCTTTGGGAATAACTGCATCGTGCTCCTCCCACAAAATGGACTTGTTTCCAGTCCAGGAAAGCAAACTGCCTGGGGCTGAGGCCTGCACCTCTGCTGCTTTGGGCAGGCCGGCCCTGCTGCTCGGCGTGGCCTGGGCAGCACTGGACAGCAGCGTGCGGAGCTCCTCACGGGGTGCTCAGTGGGGGGCTGCCAGCAGCCTTATGAGTGACTGGGTCTAAAGGAAACGTTCTGTAATTAGCTTAACAGTAAGTGCTAAAACAGCTTTCTGCAGTGCTTCCAAGTTCCAGTGCTTTTCACAAGATACTTCTTACGCAGGCTGAGTTACTGCTCTGCTTGCTACGATGGAAACAAGCCTGAAGATGAAAAGAGTGAAAGTTTATAGAAACAGGAAAGTTCAAACAATTCTGGAATTCTGCTTCATGAATTCCTTTAACTCACATAATGTTATATAAATTGCAATTTTGATAATAAGACAGCTGAAAATAAGTCTAGTCTTGTAAGTTGTGTGGGTGTATGGTTATGCTTATGTAAGTTTCGATATCCACATTACTTTATGAGCATATGTCTAAGTCTGCTGCTGTGGATATCTCTGTTCTCCATGTGCATGTTTTGTTTCAGTACTCAGGAAAATCATCACTCTGCCATACTGCATAAAGCTTGCGAGACCTTTCTGCTAGGTAGAAGTTATCAGTCTTTCAGCTAGTACCCTCGTGGTATTCAGCTGAAGAAAGAGAGAGAAGGAGACTTGAAAGTACAGCTGAAGTCTGTGTGGCCCTGCTACCACTGATTACAAAAAGTAACTTCTCCAGTATTTTCTGTAAAATGGTTCACATCTGGTCTGCGTTATAACAGAAAGGGTTGCCTGACGATCTGTCACAGCCACCCAGAGATACCAAAGAATAAACAACTGATCCTTTGATGTGCTTGTGTGATGGACAGCTGAAAATCTGCGGATCTTTTTTTTTTTTTATTTTTTGCTAATGCAGTGCACAGCACAAATAAGTCCCCCCTTCTTTTTTATTATTCTTTTGTAAATCTGTTCAGCTCATATACAGTATGTTACCAAGTTGGGATGTCCATATCTTAAAGTGGCTTATCTATGCAGCAATGTTAGCCTTCACCCAAGCGGGTATTTGAACTTCTGTTGAGGAGTAAAGGACATGACATGTATTTTACTAAAACATAAATTTTTTACATTTTAAAAGCAAGCTTAAATTCACATTCACCTGCAGAAGTACTGACAAACAACTCAGACCAGCTCGTGTACGTCGGTGCACGCAGCCTGAGCAAACGAACGCCTCCCTGCTGCTGGGTGTGACTGGCCACTGCCTCCAATTACAGAGGATGAGCAATGCCAGCACCGGCACCTCTGAGCTCAAACCCTGCAAAAGCTTTCGACACCTCTCTCATCTGAGAGGAGAGTGAGCTGAATATGGTGACATTTTCTCCAACAAAACCGTATCTATTCATGTGCCTTTATAGGGATCTTTAACAAAGGGCTCTGAAGTCCAAGTTCAACTGTAAGGAAGGAAAGGGATTTGAAATCTAATTTCTGTGCACTTCTCCACGATTATGAAGCCTCAGTATCAGTAACGTACCCAAAGAAAAAAAGATCGCTGCTTCGAATGTAAATGAATTGGAATGCACTGCTACAGAATCAAAATAAAAGATTGAAAATACATATGGTGACTGTACTACATTAATTATTAAAGCTGCTTAAGGAACAGGAGGACCATATGGAGTAAAATAATGCACAGAAATAATACGAGTCTCATAAGAAGCTATGTTATCTTTAAATAAATTTTTAATAGTTTCAAATTGTATTTACATAAATATACAGCTTCACAGATCATCTTGCAGTATCTTTTGAGTAGTCAGGTGGGTTTTTTTAGTGTTATTCTCTCTCCAATTATTGACATAGGAAAATACATTGCATGTTTTACCTTACATTTGGCTGTACATAACCTTTATTTTCTGCGATAGCATTTGAAAACTTCTCTCTCCTTCTCTGAACACTGTATACATTAGACCTTTCCAATTATATCAATCGCAGTTTTATTCCTATGTAATGACGGCACAACTTGCACGTGATTTATACATAGCTGGCCACGCAC